GAAGAAAGAATTGGAGAGAATGGGAGGGAAAGAAAGCAAAGCAAAACAAGTGCGGCAACAGCAAAGACAAGTACAATGAAAATTCAACACCTGAAAAATGCAAACACTTAAAAGACGTCCCGCCAAACGACGTCAAGAAGCAAACTCGACGTGGACGGCAAGGGCGAGGGCAATATCGATGTGCCAGCACTTCAGCGCCACTGATGAGGGCACAGTGAGGGGAGTGGGGAGAGAGGAGGGTGAAGAGAGGAGAGTGAAGAGTGAATAGTGGAGAAAGCAGAAAGGATAAAGAACAGATGAGGAGAAGAGGAGGCGGCTGCTCCTGAGCCTTGGTCTGAGCTCCGCTACAAAAACAGCAAGGACGTGCATTCATTCAAATCGACTACGGCTCGAGTCTTACCGTTGCGAAGCACAGCGCATACAAAAGAAATTCATTTTAATGCACAGCCGGCACAGCCGGCACTGAGCCGAAGTCAAGTCGGAGGCAGGAAGCCATTGCCAGTGAGGTCGTCCTTCGGGGTCGGAGTGGTGTCGGTGTCGGAGTCAGAGTCGAACCCGGAGCCGGTGCCGGAGCCGGAGTCATAGTCAGTGTCGAGGTCTGCGTGCGCCTAAACGCGGCAAATGCTTTATTCTTCGCGCTTGTTGAATTTAAGCGGCCAAAGCGCATTGCAACTGGAGTTGCGGGCGGGGCAGCTGGCAGAGGGTGCAGACCCGAAGCTGGCAACTGGAGCTGTAGGCGGCCAAGTGGCAAGTCAAGCCAAGTTGAGTCTATAATTTTTGTTGTGGTTCCTGTCTATTGTCTTACGCTGTCTCCTCCTTGAAGCCCGCACCATCCGCTCCACCCGCCCATTCGTTTTTTTGCCGCGTGGGCCGTTTCCCTTAAGCTAAATGGTAGACTAACTCCGACGCTTGCAATATTCAAAGTAGACATTAGCCTTCGCCTCTGCCTCCGCTTGTGGTGCCAATGCCGATGCAAGCCTGACTCGCAGTTCTGAATTAAAAGAGACCACGCTGAATGCCTTTAAAGACGCACTTAACAGATTGGAACGCTTTCAAATATGCTTTCAGTATGCTTTATATATACTTTAGGCCTGGCTAGAACATATTTTCAATATCGTAGCAGGATCTTCAAAATTCAATATATGAATCAGTCAATTGGAATATGTTTAACAATCGATTACATTTAGCTAATGCCATAACTAACATTATTATTATTTTATTCATTTTCCTTATATTATTTTGAGTAAACATATTTAATGCCACCTAATATATCCATAATAATTAGAAAATCGTATTTTGATTAAACAAAAAGAGGAAAATGACTCAACTGCCCAACGCCCTCCAGTGAGAACGGCTATATGCCGACTGAGGCTAAGCTAAAACTTGTTGAAGCCAAAAAGCTGGCTAAAAGCACATGTGTTGAGTGAAAGCTCCGGAATCCCACTCAAAACAAAAGCGCATGTGCCCAATCGTGGAAGCAGCTCAACATTTGTGGGTGGCGCCAATTTGTGCTCAATTTTTTTTTTTTAACTTCTCGTTCGGACTGGCTGTCGTGCTTGGCATGCATCCTTTGCTAATTGTCGTTCTGTGTGCAACCTGGCTTCGGGCTGACTTTCGGGCCAATTCGTCTTGAGCCTTGCAAGGGAACTGACAAATCAGTACTCATCCGAAGCTCTGATCATTGTCACCGACAGACCGATAAATCGACAGCCCGACAGACCGAGAGACCGCCATACAGGTCTAGGCGACTTATATACTTATATACTTATATACATACTCTTTAATGATAAATTGATTATCTGTTGATTAAGCCAATTCGTCATTTGTGTCTCGTGAATCTTGGACATTGAATTAGTAAATTGTCAAATTGCTCCATTACTTCCGATTTAAATTCGCCCGCCAAACAACTGCTTAGCCAAGACAAGAACCTTGCGCTTGGTTGCATGTCTGCATATTGCTGTAATGTTGCTCAATGATATATCGATAACTTGCCATCGATGCTGTTTTTTACATCCCTACGCCAAAACAAGCAGCACGAAAAAAATACAACAAAAACAAAAGGCAACATAAACTGAACGCAAACCCGATAAACTGCGACGAAAACAACGAAATTCAACAAATCAATTTCATAAATAAGATGGTAATTAGAAAAAAGCAGCAACTCTAGCTAACTGGTGTCCATTCGTTAACCAAACGCCAAGTGGACTTGACGCAATTATGCAAGTTGCAACTGCGGCAACAACTAACTGTACTTGGTGCTAAACCTGGGTGGGTTGCACCAATTCAGTCAGCACTGGGCGGCGATGCTCAGCGCTTGCAAATCGTTATAATCACACTAAAATCGGTAGCCGCAGAAGCAGCAGTGAGTAGAATATGCAATGCGATGATGGGAATTCAATAAATCGGCTTACATTTTGTTTCGCAGCAATGAATACCAAACATTCCGAACCATTCTATATATCATCCAGCCTGTTCGATAACAGGCGCCTTAGGCGCCGCATCAGCAAATGGATGGAGCGGCTGAGGGAACGTCAGCAGCTGTACATGACCCACTCGGCCGCCTCGAAGACTGATCGCAGCAAGCGACGTTGCCATCTGATGCTATCGCGGCGTCACGTGGCCGCTGCACTACCTGCTGACATCACCATTGACCTGCTCTCTGATGACGACGGCGACGAAGATGACATATCCCAGCCAACTGCACCAGTGCAGCCTGTGTTGGCCAATGGGCTCTTACGCCATGGAACATCTGCCTCGCCTGAAAGTTATCAGTTATCAAAAGTACCGAATATCACTTTAGTCCCGGTTGATTATGCGCCGGCGCAGAACTCGACGTCGATGCACCTGATGCCTGATGCCAGACGCTTGTTTCGCAAAATTAAGCGCCCTGGAGGCGTTACACCGAGCGCAGCAGTCACAGCATCTGCGTTAAACGAGAGCATAGTCTTGACCAGCGATGACGAAGATGTCAGGCTGAACCATAACGGGCGTCAGCTGATGCGCTCTCCGCCGCCCCTGGCGCCACTGACCTTTTCCGATACCATCGAGGAGGTGACCGTGTCGCTGGTTCCGCGTAGCTCAACCACAGCCAATTGCCAAGCACGTCAGCGACGGCGACAGCCATGTGAGCTGTCCTTCAACAGCAAACCCAGCACCTGCAGCACACCGAGCACCGCGTCCCCAAGAAATCACTACGATGGCTTCTTGAGGGTCGATGTGCCCAACGAGGAGACGGCTGCGCTACCGGATGAGACAACCGTGCATACGGTGATCGCAAATCGCATCTATGAGCTGTCGCTCAGCAAGCTTCGAGAAGGACTTGCCAGCGGCGTGCCAGAATACGCGAATGATATGTTGCCGGAGCAACTTCAGAAGCTTTCACCGGCGATGCGAGCCAAGGTAGCGCCCATGGTGGCACCGTCGCCTCCTGCGCCCATCTCTCTGAAGCTGTCGAGCGACCTAAGCATCTCCCTGATCTCCGATGACGACGATTGTGATAATGGAAATGCGGGTGCAGGCATGGGCGGATGTGGCGTGGGCAGAAGTAGCAACGATCTGCTACAGCCGGTGGTGGCGGCCGAGGCGCATGCGGCAGCCAAGTTGCTCAAGCAACAGCAACCCCAGCTGTCTGTGGTGCAGCATCTACAGTATCCGGGCCATGGTTCACCCGTTGCTCTGCCTGTTATGGCACTTGCGGCTACGCCCCCAACTGTGCCAACGCCCTCGTCGACCAGACGTCGCAAACTAGGTTAAGGTTCATGGAACGCCACTGAATCATTCCCCGACCCAAACGCCTTCATCCACCCACTCACACACAAATGTAGCGGTCCAGAATTATATTATTTTTATTTTACTAGCCTCTAGTGCAAATATATAAGTAATATACCATATAGATTTGTAGCTCCTAACCGATTTCAGCTGCAGATAGCAGTGCGTCTCTTTCGGGCGCAAGCTTACCCCGAATTCTCTCTCTTTTTCCCTCGTGTATACATCCTCCGTCTCACACGTCTCTCTCTCTTTCTCATACTTTAAGCCAGTTGCTCGAGAAAACATAAAATCAGTAACAAATTCTAATACTTATGCAAACGGGACACAACAAATTATACAAGCAACAATATATTATGAAATATATGAAAGCACACATACATATATATAAATAGATATATATCCGAGGATTATACAACTGTTATCTGTACAACCGGTCAACGTTAGGTCAGTTTAATTTGTACATACTAAAATATCTTTTTGTAATAATTGTGCATTGTTGTCTACATATATATACATAAGCGATGAAAAATAAGACAAAATACATTTTTATATGCAATCGAAACAATCACACACTTCTACTACTCTTTATCCCTACGGTCAAATGTAATAATCTAGAGAAGGGTAAAGGATATGTAGGTTTTGTTCCACCATTATATGGTTATGCAGCTCAAATTATTGATTGATACAGGTCCTCCATGGCAGTTGAATATACATATATTCCATCTCTATGCTAAGTGATCCTAAGTCGACGTCACTTATCTCTTTAGAGATGCCTTCAAAGGCGAAGTGTGTTCACCATCTCAAGTTGCTTTTTAAAGGTCGGTGATCACAACATAAGACTTTTAAATATGTAAAAAGACTAAGAAAAAAAAAATCTGTAAATGTACATATCATAAGTATTGGCCACAATTTTGATCAAATTTTTAAAAAGTATTAAAAATGTATACGTATGTATAGGTTATTTATATTTCCTTGCAATCTTTCTCAGGTTGGATTATTTTTCGACTTCAAGCTAAATATAATAGATAATTATAATATATTTTGTTTATTTTTTATTATTAGTTCGTTTTGGTTTTAGCGGCTGTAGGGACTTTGATTTCGATTGTGTAAATTGGCAGCACCAGTGCAGCAATTGTCATCTGCAAATTGGCAGCACTGAAGCAACGATTGTCAACGCATGCGCCATGGGTGAGTATTCCGTGTAGCTTTTAGGGCGGAAACGCATTCTGATATACCAGAAATAATTTTGCTGTCGAGTGTTAAAACGTATCGAACGGGTTTTAAACGCGGTCAATTACGACGACTCCGACAAACGTGAGATGAGCTCAAGCATCAGCCAAATCTAACCGACAAGTGTAGAACTGTTTATTTATATATTATTATAGATTAATATATATATATATACATATATATATATATATATATGTATATGCATATGAGAATACGTTGAACAACCGGCCATGGTAGTGCTCCAACACTTTTTCATTAACTTAATTTTCACGTACATACGCACATTGATATGTATGTACATATATGCGTGTGCTTACAGCCCATTCAATAGTCCTCATTTGTGTATAAACAATTTCAAAATTTCAGTAAATAAGTGAATAGAAGCTCGCATCAAATGAGTTTCAATCAAATGTAAATACGAGCATTCGCATACATATGCATTTCTGTATACTAAAGGCGTCGCTTCTGCCGTACACCCATACATACACCTGCACAGTGCCATACATACATACACATGCATATGTAAATACAGCTGTGAGCGATGCCGAAATCTAATATAAATATGCATTTATCATATTTGTATATTTATATATGCATAAGTGCATATGTATGCATGTATTTACAAGTATGTACATATAAAATGAATTAAATATATCCATAGAAATCAGTTATTCGGGCATATGGATATGTATTTATGCACATACATATGTATGTGTGTGTGTGTTTGTTTGCAGGTGCCGAACGAACAAAAGTATTCGTACTTATTCGGCGTCTATCGATGCTGGCCGTTTTGCCACCACACCCACATTAAATATACATACATATGTATGTATGTACATAGTGCTACATTCCCATACATACAGACATGCACACCTACATACATATAGGAATAAGTAGATATATCCAACTGTTTATTGGTACGGTTGCTTTGTAAGCCGAAAGATTTTGATTAACATACATACATATGTGCATACATGTGTACATGTATTAGTAAATATACAGATATGTGTTATGAATGTACTCTTGGAGAAATCCATATTTACATACATATGGGGATGCCGGCATCAAATGTAAACAAAGTTTATATGAGACAGGCTCTAACATCGACTTGTATGCATGTATGTATGTATGTACTTATGAATGACAATTTAGCAATGTACATACATCTATCAGCTTCCACAGAATACGTATAGTAAGTGTATAAAGTACATATATGTATGCTTATTTACATACTTACAATATGCATACGCTGGTAATGTATGCATATAATGCTTATACCTACATAGTACATATATAAATACATACATACATATCTATGTATACAGTTGCTATGCTGTCAAATTACACCCATTCAACAGCACAATGTATACATACACACATACTACAAGTACATACATCATATGCATACATACATAGATGCGTGCACATTATGTATTTTCAAGTGTACATATGTATGCACACACATAAATAATTGCGTCTTGTGTGTATGTACATATGTACATACTCATATGTATGTATCTGTAATGCAGAGCAAGACTTCGGCCCATTCCTGTTGCAGTGTACGGAGTTAACGCGTATGAACTTTTAAACGAAACAGATTAACTGATTGCTCAAATATAAGTATAACTTGTGAAGCGGCAAAATGTTGATCCGCTGGAAGAGTAAAGATAAAAGTGCATCAACTAATCAGAGCGGCAATGCGAGCAGCAGCTCATCATCGAAGAAGAAGCGCAAGGGACGGGAAGGAGGTAAGCAAAACAAACATCAACAGCATACATACATGCACTTTTTGTGTGTAGTGTGGATGGCATACAATCTGACCAGCATACATATACGTATACATATGTACATCAAGATTAAGGGAATTGGAAAACTAACGGATAGTCTGCACATATAGCCGGACATTCATATGTATGTTTGTGCAATATGTACATACATATGTACAAATAGTCCAATTGGAACCAACCTAAACTATCGATAGTATCGATATGAAAAGGGCTCGGTTGCTAATTATATTCCTTTGCAATTGCGTTTTTCAGAAGAAGACTGGCAAAATGAAAACAAACCGTCTCGCCTGCAGAGTAATGAGCAAGGTAAGAAACATCAACTGCTTATATGTCTATGTATGTATGTATGTATATATTCACTTTCGTGTTTACTTAAAGGTGGCGAAGAGCGTAGACGCGCAATGCGACGCGATGATCCGCGAAGACACACACTCGGCGGTGATATTCTGGTCTACGGCAGCTCCCAGCATCCGCATCCGCATCAAATGGCGCAGCAACAGCAGCGAGCCATGGATCTGGAAGTAAGCATAGGTCAGCTTTATCAATATCAGCAATCAACAAGAAAATCGCTCTTCCATTACAGATGAGCACACGAGCGCAGAAGAACAAGAAAAATCAACCGATGCGCGGCTATGCACCTGTTAATCAAGGCCCCTTGTTCGATGACGATCCTGGCATTATGTCCGAGGTGGAAACAGCCAGCACTGGGTTTCGAAGGGGCGGCAAACAGCGCTCCTCGTTGCCAGTGGTGCGTACGCCCTCAAAGACGCTCGAGCGACCGCTTGGACTCGTCTTCTTGCAATATCGCTCAGAGACCAAGCGGGCATTGCTTCCAAATGAGATCACTTCGATAGATACGGTGCGTGCGTTGTTCGTGCGTTCGTTTCCTCGTCAGCTTACAATGTCGTACTTGGAGGGACCCAACGTCAAGATCTACATACACGATGCCAGCAAGGACATGTTCTATGAGCTGGAAGATGTGCGTTCCCATCTGCGTGAGATACGCGATCGCTCCGTCTTACGTCTGTTTGAATCAACAGAGGTAGCCGCACCTCCACAGATTCTCCCTGGTGGTCCGGGCATACCACAGCCCTTACCACAAGCACCTTCTAGCTGGGATCAGGATCAGAGCTATTTCAGCGAGCCCGAGTTCGATTCGGATTTCAAGCATCAGCACATCCACAAATCGAAGGTAAGACACAGACGGACCCAATTCAGAGACCATTTGGATACTGGCTATTTGTTTATTTATTTATTTGCTTTAATATTATTTCAACACCCACAATTGATATTTGTTAAGATATTTCTATAAATATGTGCATATGTACATAGAGGTGAGAGGGTCTGCTACGATACGATATTTAAGCCTGGGTATCCAGCCATGTATACTTATACCTATATACACTTACATATATTCAAGTACATTCAAGGCAACAAAAAAAAAAAAAAAAAAAAAACAAAATCAAACAAAACAATATATGTATGTATGCATAATAAGCGTTATTTGCAGCACCCTGTTTAAGAGTATATTTTGCGGGATATTGACAGGATTAACTGCTGACTGAGTGGGTGATTGGGAGGGCGGTATTAGAAATTTCCACAGTTGCCCACACTGTGGCCTTTGAGCGTGTTGTTCATGTGCTCCTTGACGTCCTTCCAGGCAAAGACAATGGCGCCTTGGAAAGGCTCGGGATCGCAGTTGCTACAGATTCCCATAACGGCCTTGACCTCCTCCTCGGCCGGCTCGCGATCGTGTGTGCTGATCTCCTCCTCGAGAGTCATCTTCAGCGTCAGATCCTGCTTGAATTGCTGCCCACCAAAGTCGGCCAGACCATTGTACTTACTGAAAACCTCGCTGCTGTCATCCAGTTGGCCATCATCTACCACGGATCCATCGGCGAGCAAAACCAAACCCCGCTTTTGCACCTTTCGCTCCTGTGGTGCCTCCCGCTTAAATTGTATGTGTGTCTCTGTCTCATCTATGAACTGCACATTGGCTGAGTTGCTAAGCATCTGGAAACGTCCCGTTGTCGCTTCATTCGAGGTCGTGGGTATCCCGCGAGGATAGGGCGACAGACCGAGTAGCTGCTGTGCCACCAACCGAGAGCCTGCATTAATTTGCCCATTAACAAAGTTTGTGTTCACTGTAATCGCTTGGTCTGCCACTCCGTTTGGTGGATTCTGTGTGGGCATTGAGTTGGCCAGATTGATGCGGACTCTAGTTGGAATTTGTCCGCTTGCGAGCAGCGAGTGCATCGGCTGTGGTCGATTGATCTGAGATTGTCCATAAATATTACTATTAGCTGTAGAATCTCATTGAGCATACGAACCATTGGAGGAGCACGCGTTGTGCTGGACAGCTCCTGTCCCTCGTGATCAAAGTGGTGCACATGATGATGTTTGTGGTCTCGATGTGCCTTGCCCGCGCTCAAAGCGACGCGATAAATTTGCACGAGCGTCACCTCAAAGTGGAGGCCATGACTTACTTGCCCAGTTATTGAACTGCCGCCCGATCGCAGTTTTCCCTTAGCGGGTATTTTATGGCCTACCAGCTGCAAAATTCGATTTCGAAGTTATGAATTGCAAAACAAATTCAACCAGTTGCAGTGTGGCTAGTCAGGCGCGTTGTCGACTAGCAAATACCCTGAGCCCGTGTCGAGCTGCTGGTTCAGATATTCAGCATACAAAATATTGCGACGAGTAAAATTGACTGGAGTTTATATTTTTGCAACCAAAACTGATCAAGTCCAATGATCTATTATCACTATCGGACAAACAGAGTCACATTAGAAGATCGATTCGGATGTTGCATACACATGGGCACAACTAATATGCCTTGAATCCCCACTCCCAGTGAGTAAAGTAGAGTAGGATTAATGAACGATTATTGACTGATGTGACAAACTGATATTCAATATTTACTGTAACAGCTGCAAGTCAGTCTGGTCTAGTTAGTCGTTTTCGTTCCGTTCCATCGAGCTTGGGTAATTGGAGATTACTTACTGAATTGTGGAATCCACGTCCAATGCGCTCTGCTTTTAGCCAGACCTGCCACTCGCCGGTTTTCCCATTCCACGAGCTGCACATGTGATGCCATTGCCGCATACGCAGTGGATAGTTCAATCTGTATTCCATAATTAATTCGAGGTTCATATGCAGTCAGATATTTCGCTATATCTATGTGTATTGATTAGAAACAACGTACCTGTACATTTGCTGACCTTTTATGGCCATCGATAGGAAACTGGAATTTTGCGCGTTCGCGACCCAGATTTGTATTTCGCGTGGTTCCTTTTCGACTGTAGAAGTGGAGACGGAGTTAATTTGAGAAATAAAAATGTCGATGGCTGTTATGAAATCAGAGCAAATTGCGTGATGCTGAATTGCAATCGGCAAACCAACCAGCCAGCCAGCCAGCCAACCAACTAGCAAACTAAGCTGCCTAATTGAATGTTATCCGAAAAGTGAAAGAAGCTTGATCTATGCAATGCTGCACGACACTGCTACCAATTTATGTTGCCTTCTCAAGCTATACTATTATACTCATACCTCGTATTGTAATGATCTAGTGTGACGAGCAGTCCAGTGGCCCTTTCAACCATTGTAGTAGATGATATAAGTAGATGATATAAGCATTGGAATTCTCTGACCTATAAGTACCTAAAATTTGGTATGCTCCTCTTCACCTGTTAGATGTTATCTTTTCTCTACATCGTCCAGGGTATCAACAATACAATCAATAACTGTCTCTTTGAGTCTAAGAAAATATACATGTAGCCTACTCCATAAAAATGTAATAAGCCTGCCACACTGCAAGCTGGGGTAATTACATACATATATATCCGCTGGCCGGTCGGCTATGATGCCAGTGAGAGAGTAATAGCGGGAAATATGCCGAAAATCCTGTTAAACATAATAGCTGAATATGTAATATCTATTTGCTGAGAGCAGCCGTCTACCAGTTTAGTTGGCTTCCCATTGCAAAATTGTGTTTAGTGGAGATGGGGCGGGTCGATTGATGAGGTGTTGTCGCGAGGGTCAAGACGACATCTCTCAGTTTCTCAGTTACTCCGGAAGCTTTTCACGCAGCTCACGTTGCAACTTTAAAATAATCTCAAGCAGTTAAAATAACAAAAGCAGCAGCAGCCGCAACAACAGCGGCGGCAGCCTACTGCAAACAGGTAAATTTAATGCTTATGTAATACGGTCTCCAGTCAGCGGGACAGCTGAAAATGTTTAAGATAATAGAGACAGTGTGTAAAAACTCTCTTCCTATAGTATGATAAACTCAACTGTCGCCAATTCTCCTTTTCTTTTGAAACATTCTTGACTGCTGGTATACTTATCAATACTTATCATATAAAATGTCGACTATGTTGTGAAAACATTACATGTCAAGATCATCCCAAGTTGTCTTATTATAGTATTATACAGTAAATGAGATCAGCGTTGCCGGCTGACATTTAGAAAACAATCAATATACCCTGTTTTCGATGCGTTCTAGGGTATAATAATAAACCGTATTATCGCATCATCACGGCTAACAATGTTGACCATCAAACAGTTGTTAAGCCTCGTCATCATGCAATCATCTCATCTCATCTGTCAATTTCACATCAACAACATCACAAAACCCCGTCACATCAACAACATGAACAACAACAACAATATTTGGATCAGGAAGCTGAATCCCTTTCACTTTTTGGGGCCATGTTTCGACCCACAACTTTTGTTGGTCACAGATCTCGCAGCTAACGTCTTTTGTGCTAGTCGTTTCGCTGGCTACGGGGGCCCGAATTATGTAAAAGGTCGTAGCTGATTTTGATTGTGTTTATGATTAAAGAAAGTATCTGCAAAGGTCTTGCCTTCGTTTCCATATACAAAGTGATGTAAGCAACGAGACAGTAGTCGCTGTGCTTGATGGATTAGCCTCGCACTTACCTTCGTAGGTCAACATGACATGGTCGCCGCTGTGATTTGTGAAACGCATCCAAAAACAAAGCGTAAACTGATCCAGCTCGGGCAACTCGTTATCATACTCCACTGCCCCGTCTTGATTGAATGCAAACTTCTTGACACTGCAGCGATCGGAAGCATAGAGATTAGAGCGCGGAAAACTAATAGTGGGCTCTTCGATTGCATCATCTTTTAAGCCATATGACTTGTAGTGATTATCGTGATCGTCAATCAATGTAATGGGACGCGAAGACTCAACTCCATTTATTAGAGCGGCTCGCGTCAAAAGCAGATCGTCTTCCTCCTTGGAATCGCCGAATTGAGCATAGCTGGTGGCCAGCTCGTGGCTGCTGCTCGCCTCGCCAGGATGCGATTGCTTTAAGCTGTAGGATGTTATGGGGCTGCCCGCTGACGCGATTGGCTTCCATCCGAGGGAGTTGCCGACTTGAACGAGAAGAAGAAACGCACTGAGCACTAAGCTCGCGCCCCAGCCTGTTTTCCAAAACATTTTACCGGGATATTATGTTTTTGGGCTTTTGTTTTTGGTCTTTTTATTTTGTAATTTAAATCGCAGCGATTGTACGTCCGTCTGCGGCGGTGTCTCGCACTTCACTAGTCGGCTACGCATGCTCCAACGCTGTGCCGACCGTAGTCGAAAAGAAGAAGAAAACATAAAAAGCCAAACCGCATACACCGAGCCCGTCGCCACGTACAGTGGAGTTTTAAACAAATTTGTATGGAAATATAAAGACTGAGAGTGCATGATTATTTTTTAATTAGAACATTTTTTAGAGGAAGACATCCTGTACATAAAAGATACTATTAAAATCTATTTCAAATGTTTTTAATCGGAATGTAAATCAAAATTTCAACGGACACAACATTTATTCCCACTGCTATGCGAGAATTGTGAGCGAAAAAGACTTTAGAAACTGATATCATTTACATTTATAGTATAGCATAGTCTAGTAACTGTTCTTTCTCTTTCACTATAGAACAATTGGTTTGGTATGATTTGACAACCGTTTATGAGTCATGGCCCACTGTGCGATGTTTGTATGAGTACGTCCGTCGACCAGTTGTAACAAATGGTAAAATTGTATTGAAATTGAAACTGGTTGGGTTTTTGTAATGCCCTGCGCTTCTGCGAAATGGGTATGCAAGATCTCGGGGCACAGACTATTCCGAGCTGACCTTAAAACACTTTTGGACTTTGCTACAAACCGTTGCCGTGTTGAGCATCTTTTCAAACAACAAGCGCACCAAATTTATCAGCGTTACTGAAAAACTCTTAGAACTGCTGCAGGGCATTTGCTAGTCGAGCATACTCGAGCTGAGCACTCTCACTTGTTTTGTTTTTGTGCGCTGTAAAGCCGATCTTTTCATTTCAATGCAACAACGCTATAGCCACATATATGTGTGTATGTATGTATACAATGAAGCTAAGCATTACTATCTGCTAAGCACCGACATACTCGAAGCTTCCTCTCTGGCTAACCCTAGTCGCCGGGACAGTTAAATGCGAAAGTACATACATATGTACATACATGCATAAATATATATGCTTATAATAATAATATATGCATTTATACTTATGAACTAACTGTCTTCACGTTGTCTGTGTTAGCTGCACATCATTAATAAATCAGTCAACATTCCAGTGGCAACTATTGTGTAATGTACAAATAAGAGTAATAAACTGCCGATCAGAAATCGCTTCTACCAGAAGGAAAGAATGAATGACTGAATATGTGCAGAACGAATATGTACAGAAATTTGTATTGATTCTTTTGATACAAATTTAGGTATGAGATTAAATAAAAATATAAAAGTCGACCCATTAATCTGACAGCTCTTAAAAAGTACTTTATCTTAATAGAAGAAATACTGTTGAAACAGCTACTAGTTCTTATATGTATGTACGTCTTATCAGTTTTATTTGCAGTGCAAAGAATGAATATAAATATTATATGTACCTGAGAAAGTGAAAGCCTTTTTAGTTTCTACACACAAAAATAATTGGCAAAGAGTTTGATTGCCTGGGTGTGTACTTTGTTACAACATTGAATCATTTTTTTGTTTCGCGATTTGTTGGCCCAGCCCCTGGGGCTTCCAGCTATAGTTGTTTTCAACTGAATATCACAATTGACTTCAAATCTATACGCAATTCATTATTATTTCATCCCAATGATATGTAATTGAAGAAATTTGTACATTTTTTTATTTGCACGTTGTCAAAAAAATTATATATAAATATATTATTATATAGTAATGTATTATATGAAATTGTTTTAGATTGGTAAACAGCCAGCTCCGTATTATGTGGGCTCGTCGCAGACCTTGCCACGTGGGATGTACGGATCAGATCGTAACAAAATCTCAATGGGTAAGTAATATATGAGCTCATGGCTTATCACGCATCTAATTTTCATTTATATTTTAAGAACCTATCTATGTATATATTTAAACATTATTTTGTGACCCAAAGAACGTCGTACAAGGTCACATATGTGTGTACTTACATATACTTACATATGTATATACATATACTCATATATATTATGCATTCTAGTTCTACAATATCAAAACAGCATAAATATGTATACGATTGTTGAAAAAAAACTCCAATGTAAATGTTTTATGTATTTTTAAATTAAATATGAAATATAAACAAGAGTCTGGGCTGTACTATGGAAAATCTTTGTATTGGTCAAATGCACCAACACAGAAAATCGAAATTCTCTAGGTCTAGCAATATTCGATTTACGCTTTGCTAATCGATGAATATTTTTCAAAAATATTTATTTATTGAAAAATACTAAACTGTGCGGCCTTTCAGATGGATATACCAGCTCTCCAGAGCGGAGTACACGGAGCAACTATGAGGAGCCATACTATAGCCAATATGGTACGCGCGGACCTGTCGTCGCGCCTATCATAGATGAGGAGCAAAGGTAAGCTGGAACTAATTTCTTTCCGCTTACCCCAAATTTAGGAAAAACCTTTTTCAAATGCTAGCTAACTTTCATCATGGTTACCATTATTGCGCTCCACAAATTTTATTAGGAAAAAAGAGAAATCAGGAAATAAGCTCTAGGGGCAAGCAATACAAATATTGTCGATTAGATATGTATATGCTATAAGTCAATTCAATAGTAAATCTCCTAATTTCGCTAAAGGCTTTGTTTACCTATACAGTAGGAGTAAGAAATGTTTTCTAAATTGATTATTCATAAATTATCAGAAATCAAATACAAATAATGATTACGTCGACTTTTTTGACTGTATCGATAGAACTGAATACTGTGTAATATTGTCAATATGCATTCTTTCTCTCTCTCTCTCTCTCTCTCACACATACTCTCTTTAACACTGAGTTTCACTCTCTCTCTCTCTCTTTCACAGCGATGTCGCCCTCGTGGAAGATCAATATTCGTTATATGGGATAAAAGTTGGCCCAAATCGTCTGCCGCACCGTGGCAATCAGATCTATGATCCGACCAGGTGAGCACCATAGGCCAATTCTTGATCACGCACGGAGTTATTGTATGTCGCATAATTACCAAAGAGCAAATTCGAAATGTGAATCTGAGCATTGTGGATGCTGCGGCGGCGTCTACTGCGCCTATAGATTTTTATACGCTTCACGCTGCCATTTGTATTCGTAGTGGTAGCTGTAGCAACCGGGTGGAAGTAGGTTGTACCTTTGCTTTTGATCGCCTGCACTATGAGGCACAGCAGATAGCCGCCAAAGGAGAGAAAGGCCAGAGCAGTGATGCTGATCTGAAACAGGGTCTGCAGCTTGGATGGCTTCTCTTCAACCCAACTGGCTACAGGATCACTTTGCCATGGATGCGAGGAGCCAACGGCCGACGTGCCTCGATCGCTCCTTTAAAAAGATACGAAAACCAGTTCTAAGGAACTTCTGTAAATTAGTATGCTTCCTACCGATCGGCAGCCATCAAAGCCAGTCGCTGGGGTCCATCAGTCGTCTCACTGCAGCCAGCAAAGGCCTCGTCAACGTTTGTCTCGTGGCTCTCTGCGTGGCCCATCAGCTCCATTGATTTCTTCAATACCAACAAATCGTGTATCTGAAAATTCGCCAAACAGCTTGCGAATCGCTCTTGCGTGCTGGTCACTGTTGGGCAACAACAAAGCATCGAATGTTCTTCAAACTGTTAGTTAAGGCCCGCAAATAGAGTACATATCGCTTACCGCTGCAGTAGGCCATGGTGCTGTATTTCCTCCACACCTAGTCGACGCGCATGCAAGAAGCGACTGTGACCAAGAATGGCCATGGATGAAATTGTGCTACAACTCGTACGACTGCAGCAACAGCGCTGGCAACGCTTGCTTGACTCAAGTATTTCGACTGGTTGAGTCAACAGGGTATACTGGCCTTAAAAACATTTTTATTAAAAGCAACAGTCATCTGCGACCAGACGAGAACTAAATAAATGCTAAACTTTCAGCTGAAGAGCAATTCTAAATAGAAAAGTTTTTGTTTGATTTCGATTTCATCTGCATATGTGATTCCTGAATTATTTCCTGATAGTCATAGATCAAAAAGGCGCAGAGTATTCGCTAGCAGCCACTGCCCATTATAGCACTCGTACTTGTCAAGCTTGGCTGATCAATTAGATCTTGCTGACTTGTCACAAACAGTGGCTCCGACCTATGTGTGAATTATAAACTGTTAAATTTGCTCAAAAGCGTGTCGAATGTTACATTTCCTTTTATTTTACAATATTTTAATATTCTTTATTTTGTCTAAATATTTGCAGGCCAGAAGATTTGCATCGCATACGTGTTGAGCATATGGAGCGTCAATTGGCGAACCTGACTGGATTGGTCCAAAAGGCATTAGTTAACCAAAATCCCCAAATTGCGCCGATACCGGTACCCACACTGGACTCCAACTATCTCGTCGTGCCAACCCAAATGCAAGGTATATAATTTTCTTTGCATAGCTATAATAGCAGTACATTGAATAGAGTCAATTTTTAGAGTAGAAATAAAAATAATGGGGGCAAAGATATTATTCGTATATGCAAATGTGTATCCTGTTATATTATTTATATTGTACTATATTCATATTTAGAAAAGTCGAGCTTAGCCATCCTACATGTATATTATCACGATCAGCAGTCGAGTATATCTAGCCATTTCATTTTGTATGTTCCTCCGTCCGTCCCGGAATCTAAAAGAACTTGAGCTTTAGTAGTAGATTTTCCCACAGATTGCGCATATCAATAGCTTTTCTCATTTTTGATGTGTTATGTATATAATCGAATATTGAACGAACTCTGTCTTATGTATATTTATATTTAGCCAATGGTTCTGCCGATGAGCTATACATTAGAGAAAAGGCACCTAAACTTGGCAAGAATTCATGTCGTAAGTGTATCCAAAGCGTTGCCACATGCCTCAGTATCCAAATCCATTTTTTTTTTTTTCAGAAAAATCCGTGTCCTTTGAGAAATCGGTTTCATTTAGTGACGATATACAGGGAATACCCAAGTCACATAGCCCCCTACATGCCGGTAAATACAAAAAAAATAATTAATTATTTATAAGCCATCATTTTCTGTTACATTCTTTATTTTAGCTTTTTTGCTTCGCATTTGTTTTAGTGTTTTTTGCTTAAATTATTTTGTTCTTCCTAATCATCATACGTATTTAGTTAAGACTCGTCGATGTGGACAATTTATGCGTTCGTTGACTTTGATTTCATTCTGACATTTAAGAGAGAGCGTTGTAAACCTATTCCCACTGAGAATACAGATCCAAACTGTTTTGTAATTATATATTAACACACATACCCTATTCAAAAAATAATTCTCTGTACCGGACCCAAAAGCTGATACGAAACCAACCAAGCCGGCAATAAAGTCGTCTACCTTGCCACGTACATCCTCCCAAGGTAAGAGCGATATATGAAAGAAACGAAGGCAATTATTTCATTAGTATTATAATTTTTATCAAAAGAATCACGCATGTATTATACGCAAATCACATGTGCCATATATATATATATATATATACATATATATATATATGAATGCTTATTGACTAATTACATTTATATTTTCCATATTCTGAACCGATATTATCTTTTTGAAAAGAAGAAAGGAAGAAAGTTCACCTACCTCTCTGTCTGTCTATGTCTCGTTGATCTCGAGAGCTACGAAAACTAGAGCTTTGAAATTTCAAATATACTAAAAATACCAAAGTAAGTTTGTAGTCTCTCGTAAAGTCAACGCAGATTACAAATGTTTCCGATCTTCAATAAAGACTCACCATTATTATTATAATTATTTCAATGAAATAAAGCTTGAGCTTTGCTGCAAAAACACAATTATGTTTCATATTTAAGTCCTGAAAAGAAGAAGATAATACATCTAGAAGCGCAAGGTTCAGAGTATCAGCTAGTCGGGTATGCCCGACTAGGCTATCACTCTTCATTGCTCTATAATTTAATGCAATCCACAGAGCGCGACCGCTTAAAGCCTCCGCCACCGCCAAAGCCGATTGTGCTGGCTCAGACTGCGCATCCCAACTACAGAGCAGACATTGCACTTGCCCCCGAGGTCTACAATCATTTGCGTGGTCTGCAGAAGAAGGCGAAGGACTTGCGCATGGAAGTGCGCACTCTAAGAAGGCTATCTCAGGCTCAGTCCGTTGCCGTACGGGAGGACATCAAAAGTACCTTCATGCGTATACGTGCCACATTGTTGGCAAGCAGCGGTGGCAGCTTTTGGGGCCAGGGCGATCAGGACACTACGCGTATATCGCGAGAAGAAGAGCTGTACAAGCAGGAGGTCATACGGCTGGAAAAGGATCTCAGTGACTTGGAAGCTTCGGTTGAAAATCTTCGGGGCGAGGTGATCAATCGACGTACGCGCGTCAATATGACTGCCGTCGAGGACATGGCCCTGGTTTTAAGTCGCGCAAGGTATGACCTGCTACCATTCGTATTCTATATGCATAGCCCAGCTGAGTCTCTGTCCTTACAGCAAAACTGTCGCTGAGCTGAAGCTCAAGTTTCCGACTTTGTCAAATGGTTTGCGCTGCATACTGTCCAACGAGATGGAAAAAGTAGTACGAGAAGAAAAGTTCCTAAAAGAAGAGCCCGATCGGTTGGAATCGGCTTTGCGTCGCTGCAAAAAGTTAACGGGCACATTAGTTACACTTAAACGGTTTGTAGATTTCCCACACCATTTTTTGTATACCCTGAAACCCATAGTGAATAGCTAGGCAAACATATATCGCGTTTTGTAATTGTACATGAAGATCATACATTTAGAACTACATGGGTCTAGGGTATCTGGCTAATCGGGCATCCCCGACTAGACCCCTCTTAGTTGCTATTGCTGATGGAACCATTTCTCATTCATTAATTAGTTTGGCGAGCGTACAGGAACAACGTTTGCCCCCTAATGAGCCGTCAGTCAATGAGGAGTCTTTACGTTCCGCAGATATTTCGGTCCCCGACAAGGTAAGTTGCCCGATTGATAAATCTATAGAGATATTTTTGATAAACAAATACACAAAAAAGAAAATAGTTATTTAAAAAACACCTAGGGCTGTATAGCCAATACTAATATTTGCGCATAAAACACCGTTTCATACCGTGTCATACATATTAATATATATATATATATATATAATAATGATTAACGAATATTCTTTGTATTATTTTGATGACAAAAACTAGTTGCTTTTGACCGAAAGAAGTATTTGCATTGGCTGAGTTTCGTTTTAAAAGATGAACCTATTTTGCACATTAGAATCCTTGCTAAATATTGTAAAACCCGCTGACTGAATAACTTAAATAACGTTGCATCGAGTGCCTGAAAGGTGGCCTTGTTTGCATTGATCTAAGGTATTAACAACAAATCAACCTTTCAACTTTACATCCGTCCATTAACATTTTTATTCATACATGTCTAGTCTGTCCATCTATTTACTTCAACAACCAAAATAGAAATTCAATTGCTGATAAGAAATGTTTTATAAAGTGCCCATTAGATGCTGATAAAATACAAAAAATAAAAACAGTTAAAGCAGATTAAGTGATATTTTCTTTTCGCAAGGTGTGTTAGAAAATATGCAAAGCAAATACTTAAATATTTTTTGATATCCATGTCCTTCTCTTCAATGCCTTCTAGTGCGATATTCCTTGGCCAAAGCTCTGTCTAATCCAATGCAAATTGTTGTACTTTCATGTAGTACTATGAATTTTGACGGGAAATGTGTAAAAAAAAGGGGAGCTTAGAAAATCAATAGTTGTATGTCAATTTTGGATAATTTATATTAAACTGTAATAGACATTCCAAATATATTTTTGAGCACCCCGCTATTCAATGCATTGCAAGTGCATTATTTAAACCTTTGTTTTACAAATCAGCAATTGAATGGACATAACAGATATATATCTAATGATATATGTAAGTGGGATTTCATAGACAATTAACTGAATAACAATCATTTGGCCTATGTCCTTGACTGATTTGTATACAAACTTATTTTAACCTCATTTTATCCTTAATACTGCGCATCGACTATTATCGACAGTTTTTGATTGAAATTACAATCTAGTTGTGCAAGGGTTTTATATAATATATAAGCAAGCTATTTAGTGCTACCTTAGTCAATCAATTGTATTTATTCAATTCGATTCATTTGTACGTATGCTTTTTTATAGTTTAATTTGATTTTAGTTCTGGTTCCTCTGTTCATTTCTGTGCTGTTTTTACTATAAACAAGTTGCAATTGGCTGTTAATAAGTAGTTTCGTTTGTTTTAATTTCTACTGCGTCCACTTCATTGTACTTGATTTTGTTTATGTATACATACGTGTAGAGTTTACTCCAATCCCGAAACAGTTTATAAAAGGCGATGGCTTCACCGATATTTCCCAAGGGTTAATATACTCTCAAACTAATTTAAAGAGCATTTTTGTTGTTTTTAGTTCATGTTTGAATTTTGTTTGATAAAGCGAAAGCGTTTTACGTATTGAAACACGAAAATTCATATTCATACGTTTGACAAAACAAACACTACCAAAAATCAAAAGCTTAAAGTCTTATTAAATGAGGTTTACCTAGTGATATCGTTTTCTTCTTCTTGCCCCTTTTTTTCGAACTAACAATTTTTGATATCGTATACAACAACAACAACAACCCACATAGTTTAACTGGCGATGGAGTTCTAACTTCAAAGAGGCAATTACTGAGTAATGACTGAAAACACAAAAACCAAACCAAACAAAAATACAAAATATAATCAAATAATAATTAAACTGAAAACCATTTTCAAAACAAAACAAAAAAATGAAAAACTCTCATTAAAAACTATGTCCATTTTATTTTAGCTGAAACATTATTTGCTCCGCATTTAAAACATAACTAGTTTATATTTTTGTATACCACTTACTAAACTTAACTTCTAAACTAATACAAAACTCATCAAATGCTATCTATAAGAACAAAACACATTTACCAACTGCAATTATATATCACTAGTTACCTAAATACATATATATGTATATAATATATATATATATATGTATACATGTATATAATATATATGTGTATATACATATATATGAATGTGTGTGCGTAATGTGCTTTCCAAAAGGGGTTTCTCTGAGCTATGCGTTGCAAACATCTCGGCTGCAATACTTTCAAGGAATTTACATACATATAAATGAGCTACGGATCAGAGTACTTGCCATACTACCATACCACTATAAGATAATGTAGATCGAAATTTTTGTATCGCTAGTCAAATTTCAAGTAAATCAATCAGTGAATCACTGAATCAATCAAGAAAGGTAAATAGCATTGTAACACAATTTATTATACATGTTTTGAAAGACTTAAACAGCAACAACCTCTGTGGTAGATAAATCGTTTTGATTCCCCCTTCCATTAACTACATACTTTCTTCCCAGATGTCCCCTTAAAGTACTAATCAAGAATACAAAATACAACAACAATATCAACAACAACAAATTAAACAAATATGTGATCTCCTCAACACCTTCCTGTGTGCTCAAATGTTTCTATTATTAATAATTGTTTTCAATTGCTTTCGTCTGTGATCGCCCCTGCACCCTTCTACTTCACACACATCCTACTATTTCTATACTGTTTGGATTGTAAAGTTATCATCAAAGGGGTACAAAGGGTTAATTTATAAATTTCATTATATTATATATACTGGCAGGCAAAACAGCTTTTGAAATGTTATAGCAAAATATACTGTTAATCAATACTTTTCATTATAGAGCAAAACAGAGCAATACCTAATTACTTCTTTCCTTATAGAGTAGATGTAAACAGTGTAACAGTATTACAGATTTTGCTATAAAATCATTTTCACTGTTTAAAAATATATGATACTTAGTATCATCATATGTAAATCAATACTTAGCCAACCGACTACAACAGTATAAGAGATTTTGCTATAAATACATTTTAGAATAGAGCAATAGACATATATAATTTACTACATATATATAAATCAGTTTCAAGTCAGCTGAATATAGCAGTATAACAATATTACAGACTTTACTAAATATATAGAAGATAGCTCCAAACCGAGCATAACAGTTTGGCAACATAACTGAATTTACTATAAATACAATAGAAAAATGTGGATGTGGAAAACATCATCTCATATGGCGAACAGTTTTAATACGACAGAGTGTCCCTTATCTATGCAACAGACAGACAGTAAAAACATTTGTTTACGAATAAATTCTTTTGGACATTATTGTTATTATTTGATAGCAGTTGGTTCCGAAATGATGAGATAATTTGCAATTGCAACCTTTTTTCCGCTTTTTGACAATTAGCGAAAAATTCCACATTCTTTTCAAACTAACTACAATCTGTTTTCTACATCGATTTCTTATTTGTGTTGATTGATTATGTTTTTCGCATTTCTTTCTGTTTTTCTTTTCATTGGTATTCCTTTTGTAAAAAGCTCAAAAAGTTTAAATATGATACTTAATCAATTTGTGTGCATGTGCATATATGTGAAGGCCCCGTTAACTTTCTACTGGCTAACAAAACCAAATTGTAAATTTAATTTCTGTGCTTAATTCATCGAAAACGCATCAACAACTCTGACAACAACAAAATTACAGCATTTTCAGTTCAGTTCACATCTAAGAAAAAGACAACAAAAGAACACAAATTAATTGAATTAAATAACTTTTTCCCTGGAATACAGCCGCCGAGTTCTCCAGATTCACGAACAAAATATTACATGCAAAAAGGACGAAAATCAAATATAAAACAACTTTTGGAAAGATATTGCTTCGGAATTCCGAAGACTTGAAACAAATATGCAAACATGTTTATAGAATGTTAATTTGCAAGAAGAATTTCTTTTTTGTTTGTTAAGAAAAGCTAGTTGAAAATTGAAAACAGAACAACAACAAAAAAAAAAATAATAATAATAATAATATTTTTGTATTAATGTTGTAGTTGAAAAATGAACTATGTCTATATACAAAATCTAGTATCAACCTAAATGTACCTTTGTTAATGTATACACAAATCATTCTTTTAAGCGTGCAGTCAATATACCAAATTAATCAAATCAATCCAATTGAACAAATCGAATTCTAAAGCTCAAGCTCTTCAAAATGTTCTCACTCATCGATTGTTGTCTTTGAAGTTTTAACCATCTAACATGTTTACCCATCCATCATCGATTTCTCTCTTTCTCATTACGTACATATATATATATATATACATATATATATATATATTATTTTGTGTTCTTTTTTACTATGACTACCATGTACCTTTGCTAAAAATATGTGCTTAGCAATATATGCCGTACTATCTCACAAAATATTTAATCGGTGGAGCTTTGTTTATGTATATATATATACATATTGTATATATACGTATATGTATCTCCCATGTAATTCATTGTTCCTTTTTATCTTTTTTTTATTTTTTCTTTTTCTTTTAATAAATGAGATAATTAGAAATCGAATTCCAAATTATTAATTGTGTAAAATTTATTGGAGCAAGCATGCCCTTTAATGCATTGCATGCGATTGGAGTAGTTAGAGAAAGACTGTTCAAAATATTACTTTTTGTTATATTTTTGTTATTACTAGCAAAGCCAGAAAGCCTTGAAATTTATGTTTTTACTTTTTATTTTTGCATGTCATGTTAAATTAAAACTACCAAGTCATTCGAAAACAGAAAAGATTGGGTTGAGTAATGCGAAGCGTGTTGTGGGTGAGGTATCTGACTTCAAAGTGCCTTTGAAGCAATTATCACTTACCTTCAACTATAAATCATTTTCGCAGTGGGTGCTAGACAGACGTATGACTTCATATAGCTCTGTTTATCCTTCAATGCTAAACATGCGAGCAATGCAACATGGCAAACATACATAAAGATGTCATAAGTTAGAGCACTTGCGACCGGAAATGCTCGACTTAAAAATACCTTGCCGGGATGCTATTTCAAATGTTTCAGCAGCATGATTAGGACTACAAGGGCCTCAAGGCATCTCACAGTGGAACATGACCAACTGCTTTTTGATTTGTTTTTGTATTTGCCTGTATGTTGTTTTATTATGATTGCTGTAGCGGATTTTATCTATATATCCTAAAAACAAATATGTACGTTATTACTATGCACAGCATGATTTATTTTTCGTATACACACATTATTACATTGACTATTTTTCTATGTTTTAGCCTGTCTCACTAGATGGGTTTTCATACAATGTATTAATTCTACAATACAGTACCACATAAGTAATTATATACATTTATATGTATAAATGTGCAATGTTTTTTTATTAAACTTCATTTGATTTCACAAATTGTTGGCAATTTTTTACATCGATTTACAATTTTACTGTAATTATGTATTCTTTATAGCCAATCCCAACACCCAGGATGGGGTCGTTCCCTGTCGGCGGGGGACTCGCACCCGAAAACGCACTCGATGCTCTGCTAGACGAGTTAAAGACATTCTCAAAGCCAATTGCCCAACAACAACAGCAGCAGCAGCAGTTGCAGCAACAACAACAACAACAAATGCAACAACAGCAGCAACAACAACAACAAAAACCACCATTTGAGGTAAATGATTAGGCTCCAAATATATATAGATCAATTTCCATTTTGACATTGTATATACATATACATATATCACGAATATATGCATCATAGGTACGCCCTGAAGATTCGACATCTGATGAAAGTGCTCAAGCAGCGATACAGAGCACCGTCACCACGCAAATATCTCAGGCACGCCTGCTCACAGAGGCGAACGTCGTCAATATGCAACAGGCGACCACCAACAGCATGGTCATGGCCGTTTCTAGTGCTAGTGGGGCAACATCGCATTTGTCGCGTGGTGCATTGACCCATCAGCAGTCGCAACAGCAGCTGATGGTGCATACCAATATAGGAAGCTTGCGTCGCCTGCATTCATTTCCCAGCGAATCTGACAACGAGCTTCCACCCCCACTCGCTAATGGTGGTGGCGGTGGTGGCGGTGGTGGTGGTGTTGGTGGTGTCAGCGTCAGCAGCAACAACAATAAACCACCAGTGCCCGAGCGCAATGCCGATTTGATAACAAGAGTGGGTCACAAGCGCATACCGCCACCACCGCCGCCGCGTACCAGCTCACGTAGTCCACTGGCCAGTCCGACAAGCCCAAATATGCCACAGAACATAGCCGCTGCCACAGCCGGTGCTGCTACCGCCACCGCTGCCAACATGGTTGACAATAATATGATGAGCATCGAGACTATCGTAATCGGTAGTGGTGACACTTCAAGCGGCGACAACTCCAGTGGCAATGAGTCTGGCAACGATCACGCACAGCGGCAGGTGGCACTTGAGATGCGCCACCAGGAGTTATTGAAGAAGCAAAAGCTATTGCAGGAGCAGTACCAACGATTACAGCAAATGAGCAAGATACCATCGGTTGACATATCCGGGCCCCCACATCCCGGCAACGAATCGAATATACAGCAGAAAATAGCCGCAATCAATTTGTTGGCCTGTGAATCCATGGGCAGTGATCCGGCTGCAGCAGCGGCGGCGGCAGGAGCTGCTGAGAATGCAGCGGGTACAAATGGTGTATTGAACAGTGATGCTACGGGTGGTGTGGTTGGCAGCGTTGTTGGTGGTGGTACAAGTGCAGGAGCTACTGCTTCTGCTGCTGTTGCTGCTGCTGCAAACACCACAATGACCACCAAACAGGTGTACGAGACGGAGATACTCTAACACAATTGGAAATTGGCGTGGAGCGAAACGAAAATTGATATTTAACTGTAGCATCATTATACATTCTATATACTATATATACACATACATATGTATATGTGTCTCTGACACGTCGCACAAACTGCAGCTTAGTATATCTCTATCTCACTCTCCCTCTTCCACTCTCAATCTTTGTCACGATTGTATATGTCTCTCTGTCATATGCATGAATTTCTGCTCTGATCTGTATTACACTCTTACACTCTTCCTTCCCCTCTCTCTCTCTTTCTCTCTCTCTCTCTCTCTCTCTCTCTCTCTCTCTCTCTCTCTATTTGTCATCCTTGCCAAACACAGACATCAGACGAATCATATACGAAGACTAAAAGCCTTCGGCTCTGTAATACTATTAATACTTGAATAATAGGATTGTTAAGAATGTTAAGCAAGTAAGAAGTACTCCCATGCGTGTTAAATCTAAATGTCTTATATATATTCCATAATACGTTTGTGTGCCAGGCTACATGCATGTATGTATTGCCGAACGAAAATCAAAAATTTAATGAGAAACCCAAAAACAAAAATATGCGATGTAGCTCCATCGCGATGTAGATGTGCATCGAATAAATGTACGCACTAAGCTGTTTTGTCCCTGCTCAAAATATTTTGAGAAAATTGCCAACATTAAACATTATTAGAATAGTTAGTAAGACATGCCAACACATTAATTGAATTAAATTGCCTATCCTCCACACAAAACAACAAAAATATATGAAAGAAGCGGAAGTGAGAACAACGACCATCTTACTTAGCTAAGAATGCGTGGGTGAATATGTGTCGTATAGTTAATGGTCGTACATGGAGGAAAATTAATGAGAGGTAGATACTTTGCTATTTAACTGTTTGATCAAGTTTACTTTCATATATGTCTCATTTTACCTTTTTTTTTGTTCTTTGGTATGGGACGTGAGACTGATAGTTCTATATATCTAGGTCATCAAAAAAGTGAAGAATTATCTTCAATAATAAGTACGAAAATATTTCTTAGAAAATAATACTAGCTAATTTTATTCCAGTACACGGTAAATTCTTTCCAAAAATAAATTTAAAAAATATATATAAAAAACCGACATATTCTGCATGCCGTTTGTTTTTGAAGACCCAACGTTTTGGTTAACAATATTTGATTTTTGGGAAGATTCGTTTTCGGAGTTCCGAAAATATATATGTTATAGTTGATCTGTACATCCCATAAAATGGGACTGGGGGTATACATTAATTTACTTCTCTATGATCGATTGTAGTTAAAAGTCATATATTTGATATCTTTTTATTGCACAGCACTTCCTAGCTAAGGATTTTTAGATACATATAGGTTTAACACATGATTTTAGCCAATCGGAATGATTTTAATTTAAAACAAACGAATTTTGTATATACCATACAAACTTTTAAACCATATTAGAAAAGTCTCAAATATTACATTTAATTTAATATTTCACCCATACGCCATATATGTAGCTATGGTAGATCCTTTTTTACTTAAGTCAAATATTTTGTAAAAAGTCATTAATAATATATTTCCTGGTTCATCAATGCATATACTATAGACGCATATATCGACATTGATCGATCAATTTCAATTCTCACTGTTTCGAATAAAACCAAAATGTGAAATAGTGTAAAGATACTTATATGTCTTAAATTCATATATATATTATCGCTCTAACGATAAATAATATATAATATATTACAAATCACTGTACGAAATATCTTATTGAGTTTTGAATTATTTAGTCAAATGAATAAAAAAAGGAAGCGAGAAACGATGCGCTCAAAAGATTTATACACATTAATACATACTATTTATGATAATAGAAGGCACTTTGTTCTTGTTTTTGTTATTGTTTAATTCGAAATTATTTGTCATACATACAACGAAAAAAAAATAAGAATTTTGATTACAGCGATAAGAAGTACGAAGCTACATATGTGAAAGTATTTATCTACTATAAAGCTGCAAACATAATAATATTTATAATATGCTACTTATAGCAAACTATTTTAAAATATTGTAATCTGCAAGTGTATGCGTGTATTGTATGAATACGTAAATGTTTTTCTTATAAGGCACAGTAAGCACACACACGATTGGAAAACTTATAGTGAAAACCTAAAACGTTCATGAAATTACGTATTATGAACATTAATAACAATGATAATAATACAAAAATCAATATCGAAAATCATCATGCATGGAAATGTAAACATAACAGATGCGCATTTTTTTTGTCTTAAAATTATTGTAATAATAATAATATAAAATTAAATTGCAAGAAACCACAAACAATAAAGATATCATATGCAAATTGATTTCCACTGTGTTTTTAATTAGCAGTGTAACAGTATCATGTTCGATAGCATTTTCTATGTTATTCACGATCAACATCAATTTACAAAGTTCACATGATTCTTAGGCACGTAAGATGCACATACATAGCATCCCATTTCAACTGTGTATATGTGCTATTTAAAAATAGATACATTGTTTAGAAAAGGCACATTAATATTGATATACATTGTAATCTGTCATGGTCAAGTGACAATGGGATATGTTACTTTTTATCTACTTCGATTCATTTTATATGTAGCTTTATAGCTAATCTCAAAAATGTACTTCGACGCTTGCTTAAAACAAAAGATGTACATATATATCAGCTATATAAATTTGTAGTCGAGCTCTACATTTTAACTTATCTATGATTCACAAAGACAGTCGCAAGGCAGTTTTGGCATTTTGCTAGCTGGCCATGGTAGATAACCAGCTGTTTTGAAGACCCAATAGTCGTACGAAACTTTCGTGATCAGAGCTAGCAAGAGAATTACCTCTGCGGCTATTAGATAGTATATGTAGTCAGTCCAATCCGGTGGCGACTGGCAGAGCTTTGTCTCTTGCAATTCAATAACACTCTGAGGTAAGTTGCGACATCTAATATCCATGTAGTCTGGTATATCTGTGCTGCGCTCCTTAAGCCAGTTTTGCAGTGTTTTTGCCGAATTACAATCACATTGAAGTCGATTCTCTGCTAGATAAATGCGACGCCCAATGCCAGTATCCATAAGAGCATTGTTCAAAAAGTATTCGGGAATCTAAATATAAAATAATATAAAGTACATATGTGTAATGTATTTTTTAAATATGTGTTATATATTTACCTTAGTCAGTGAATTGTTGCGCATGTAAAGGCGTTGAAATTGCTCAATAAACTTTGTGCCCTCAAATTCGTAAATGGATGATATATGATTGTTATCGGCGTCCAGTTTGACAATATTGTAATAGGTGGGATTCGTATGGAAGTGATCGCCAAGAGTGCTTATTTTGTTGTTGCTTATGTTTAAAGTGAACGTATTGTCCGGCAGCAAAGATGGGAGTTCAAGCAGGCCAAGATTTGAACAATCCACATGGCAAACGGTACGAGACTGATCACCCTGTATTATCATCATATTATATATGTTACAAGAACAGTTCCCATGGTTCGGAATAACTGGGCACTTGGTACCGCACTTTTTTATACTCTCAAGCTGTTTGACCGACACTAAATTTGTTGAGTTGAACCACTTGTGTGTCGCATTATACAAGCAAAAAGAGTTTTCCGGATTTACAAAGTTGAATGAATCACCGTATATAATCTCGTTTAAAGGCTCACAGAGCAAACGCATGTTCCCACTAAAGAAAATATTTCTGTGTAATTATAATAAACTTGATTTGCCGTAGAACGTGAAGCTTACCTAATATCTAAAGCTATGTGTTTGTTCTGGTTGCGATTCGGAACACGGGACAGCAGATTTTTCGATATACCAAAAAACTCCAGTTGAGGCACATCCTTTACGGCTCGCGATGCGATATCTGATATATTATTATTTGATATGTTAAGGCACTTCAGTTTCGAATGACGCGGAAAGGCATTTGTTAATTGCATAATATTGCCATCCGTAACGGCGAGCGACTGCAGCGATCGATATATCGGATTGGAAAGGTTCATGGCCTGCACGCTGAGGTTACGCACATGCAAATTCGTCCACTTGGATATGTTACTGCAACTTGAGATCATCGAAATGTGCGTAATGTTGCAACAGTACCACGAGTTGGCTCGAGTCGGATGCTCCCGGCACTGACAGCTGTTCGCATCGCGATCACGAGCTTGGAGATTCTGGGATTGCAATAGACTGCCATTCTGCGCACTAATCGCAGTCATATTGTCCGTCATGTTTTCTTCACCATCATCTAACTTAACACCAGAGACATCCAAACGATCGAGTACAGGTGGCTCATCGCCACTACTGCCATTGTGGCGCCGCCAGTTGAGACACAACTCCTCTTCTGCGTAAAAACAATTCTTCAAATAGTCCGGCAATTCAGAAGAGACTGCAGCCGACGGCGCTGCAGCGGTTGTGCTTGCCACTGGTGTTACAGCGGGCACTAAATCCGCTTTCTCAACCTCAATTTGCCTCTCGATGACCGCCTGATGCGGTATGGGTGGGGGCGTAATAGCAGACGTCTCCATCGATTGCGTTACCGACTGGGCCGACGATGCCGCGGGTGTTGCAGCCAAGGACAGTGGTGGAACTGTTTCTGCTGCTAGCTCTTCCGGACGTGCGCATGCGTGAGCAAGCATTACGATTAGAACTAACTGCAAAAGTGGAATTCAAACAGTAATTATCTGCTGATAGCGGAAATCATAAACAATATGTATGCATGCAAATATTGACAGTGTACGCCCTCAATATTGACGGAGATAATTAACGCGCAGCTGTAATTCGATAAGACGAAGGCTTGGCCAGCTGTTAAGGCAATTAAGTTAAGTGTGGGTCAAGGGGCGAGGGTCAATAGAACCCTTAAGCCACCCAGCCGAATTCTTAGTTTGCGGCACAGCAGGATTTATTCAAATAGTAATTAGATATGTCAGTAAATAAACACATACATATGTATGTGTATGTATGCATGCAAATGTATGTATAGCATATACATATGTACATATGTACGTGATTTATGGATTACGGCTACACATCTAAGATGATTGCAAATGCACATACCTTTTGATATCCATTTACAAATATATTCTTTAGCATGGACAAACATTGAACTTTATGGGATATTTTACAATGTATTATCAGATACATATATGCACATATGAACATTTTGAGTGAGTTTTGCAAATTCGCAATGACAAAATGCAGCTTAATGCCATAATACATGACTTTATGCACGAAAGATGTACAAAAGCAAACAGTTCAAATATATCGCACTTTGATGCCGTTTAATTACATTCAATAAATGCCTTTGATAAAGCTTAAGCACACAAAAAAAAACAACAACAAAACACAAGTGAATATTTATATATAAAGACCCCATTCATATGTACATATGTAGGTATATACAAGCCGTATACATATGTAGGTGCGTATGCGCGTGTGACTTACATCTTTAAAGGCAATCATTGCATTTGCTGCGTAACGCATCAACGGAAATTGCGATTTGGAAAATCAGCGTTTTTATTTTTGAAAAACAGATCACATTTTATAATAAATCTTAATTTTTAAACTGTCTGCGCATGCTAAAAATACAATATTGCAGAATCGTTCTCAGCCATATCAGTTAGGCACATACGTTAAATAAAAAAATTTTACTTGCTTAAAAACACTACTTAAACAAAAATACAGAAGTATATATTTTAATCAGAAATGTAGAAAAACAAGATATTAGTGTATGTTATCGACAACAATGCGAACGCAACAGTGTTAAGGCTTCCCAGACAAATCGTGGGTGTTTTGCACACAAACGAAAACTAAAATGGTACTAAAAAATACTATGCTCAAGAAATAATTCAGTATTTTTTTGTTTGGCATTTCATTTCATAGATCCGCTCTCTTCATACAAATGTATAGATGGGCTTAATGAATCATAATTTTATTGACTTTAATATTGCGATCTCTTTCTAAAGATCTAGCAAACAAGCAAGTAGCTGTTCTTTGTACCATGACGCGTTATCAGATGTTGCACCGAAGTGTCAAAGAGAATCTATCGCGGATAATTTAAAGCATTTGAATTTCACCAATTAAAACATCCTTAAGTTATTTTTCATACACTGAAAACTAGAATTAATTAAAATGCCAATTGATACCCGCGAGCTAATGGAAGCCATTGCCATCATAGCCGATGAACGAAATATTCGGGTTGCAGTAAAACAATCAGGAAAAGGAACAGCGATTTGTGCTGCTTGCTGCTTTGCTGGCGGCTTATTAATGGGTCCTGTGGGCCTAGCTGTTGGCGGCGCTGCCGGAGGAATTGCTGCCTATAAATTAACCAGTGGTTAGTTTTTTAGTGTTACATTACTAACTCTTAGTAAAACGTGTGTTCATTTATGTATATATGTTACAGGTACATTTAGGCCGCTGGGGGAAGTTATATTGAACGACTTAACAGACGCACAACGCGAACAGCTGGTGCAACATGTAACAACAGCCGTAGCCGACGTACGACCAACGGATTTAGTAATGTTGCTGCCTTTGATAACACAGAACGCATCTATTCAACAGGCAGTGCTCAATACAATTATGTCCTTTGTTACAAATGAGCTACGGATGCAGATCATTGATTGAACTGTTAAATGCGAGCATGTGATTTTACCTATGTACCATAATTCTATAAATAAAAATGCCCTAGAAATTATATGTATAGTCTTATCAAAAATGCACAAAAACAACAAAGCCGTCGAAATTATCAACAGCAATATTAATGTAACTAGGTGTTTAAATTGTCCCATAAATAATTAATTGCTACAATATAGTACAATATACTGAAGAAGAAAGTAAATACGACGTTTTACTAAAGTACGTAACGTAATTTTTTTTTTATTGATAACAAAATATATGGCCTAAATACTATATGTACATGTGCACCATGTTAATAACTGAGATGTTTCTGCTATTCCCACTCCACGTTGACCTGATCCCAATCGTCAACGAAGGGTTGATCAATGGTATCGATTAGTAGTCCACAATATAGACAATCGGCGGCAAGGATATCTTCAATCTCCGTTTTGAGATCAGCGCGCTTCTTTAGTTGATCAGCTGTGTTATCGGACGATCCGATTGTTTGTGCCATTAACGTTTCCAGCTGTTGCTTGAGTAACGTTAGCCGGCGACTTTGGTCCTTGCTGATCATGGGCATCACCTGCTTCTCCAGGCAGTCACTGTGGAACTTATGTCCACAAATGTACACAAAGAAGGGCTTAACTAACAAAATGAGATCACATATATCGCAGGCGTCCTGCGCTTCCATCCGAATGCTGTGTGCTTTTAGTTTACGCAAC